TCCACCCACCCACCCATGGTTGTCTAACATTTAGAATTTCCTTTTTATGTAACGATTCATTGTCGAGATTGTAAAATAGAGAATATATTCAAAAGTTAGAAAAAAAAAATAAAAAATGATTGATGTCTACTCGGCACAAACTCACAACGCAATATCCGAGAAAGACGGTCCAAGCGGCGAAATATTCACCGCCAAGAGACTTGCGAGCTTTGTTTTCTTAGATTCTGGTGTACATTTGTCTCGAACTCTCTATAGTACAACTTCGTAAGATAAAAAAAAAAAAAAAAAAAAAAAAAAAATTTACTTCCATATCTCCAGTATAAAAATCTCAAAAGGCCCCTTTCTTCCTTCTTCGCCCTAGGGTTTCTGTTTTTCTGCTGCCCCGCAAATTCCCCAATTCTTCATCTCTTTCTTTCAATCTCTTCAACACTACTGGAGAGGTCATTGTTTAGCTGTTTCTGAATTCTGACTTCGAATTGGCAGTGTGTCGATTCTTGGAACAGTCTGGGTTTGGTTTGATTCCTTTCTCGTTTAGGGTTTCAGTCAGCTGTTGAATGGGTGAGTGTAATCCGATCGGGAGCTGTCTGATCTTGTGTGCTTGCCGTTACCGCCGGTAATTAGGGGCGGTGGTCCCCTTTGTATGGAAACTCGGAGCCGGAAGCGGGCGGAGGCCTCCTCAACTGCCCCTTCTTCTTCATCCGGTCCTACCACTCGTTCCCACAAGCGCGCTCGCCTCTCCTCTTCCCCTGTTGTCAGTTCCCCTCCTGTCCGTTCACGCTCTTCTCGTGCCGCAGCTGCAATGGACCCGACCAATAATGACTCCTTCTTCAGCTCCCGCCGTGATCGTCGTTCCAACAAAAATAATCAGAATCAGAGTACGAGTGATAATCCTAATCCGCCCTCTGATAAGGGTAAGGAAAAGGAACACGATCTCAGGATGAGAGAGAGAGAGAGAGATCACGCCAACAGTAATAATCATCCCGAGCGTGGTTTGGGATTGAATTTGGATGCATCTGGTGACGACGATGATAATGACAGTGAGGGTGGTGGAGGGATTTTGCCGTCAGCTAGCAGCGCCCTTCAAGGGCTGTTAAGGAAGCTGGGTGCTGGACTGGATGATTTGTTGCCGTCCTCGGGAATTGGGTCTGCATCCTCTTCACACCAGAGCGGTAGGTTGAAGAAGATTCTGACTGGATTGCGTGCAGAAGGAGAGGAAGGTAGGCAAGTGGAGGCGTTAACGCAGCTCTGTGAACTGCTCTCAATTGGGACTGAGGACTCACTAAGCACCTTCTCTGTGGATTCCTTTGTTCCTGTGCTTGTGGGATTGCTTAATCGTGAAAGCAATCCGGATATAATGCTTCTAGCTGCAAGGGCACTCACTCATTTGTGTGACGTGTTGCCTTCTTCATGTGCTGCCGTTGTTCACTATAATGTTGTTTCGTGCTTCTGTGCAAGGCTGCTAACCATAGAGTATATGGACTTGGCTGAGCAGGTTAGGCTTAGTTATATAGTAATTAATTTGATTGTTGAGTGGTAGAGAATTATCTTCATTGAGTCGTTGTTAATATTGCAACTTGTTAGGAGGAATATTAAGCTCATTGCTGAGGTACGTTAGTATCTTTTTACATGTAGCAATACAATAATCTTCTTGAATTAGAAATTATACATGTTTGTGAGTTCTAATACTTCTAATTTGTTAATGAATGTATCAGTGTTATGTTGTTGCTTGTAGCAAACCAGATATTATGTCCGTTAATGCATGGATGGATTAACTAACATGGATCTGATATTGGTGTTTGATATGGTGTAAACAGTCTCTGCAAGCTCTGAAAAAGATATCTCAGGAACACCCAACTGCCTGTTTGAGAGGAGGTGCTCTTATGGCTGTGCTTTCCTATCTTGACTTCTTCTCAACTGGAGTTCAGGTAACAATTTTTTTCTTTTTAAAAAATTTTTCAAATTGTTATAAATTAAAGTCATAAGGAGTGAAGAACACCTTGCAATTTGGTCCTTATCAAGTTCAATTTAACAATGATTCTCAGCGAGTGGCACTATCAACTGCTGCAAATATGTGCAAGAAACTCCCTTCAGATGCAGCTGATTATGTCATGGAAGCTGTACCACTATTAACAAACCTTCTGCAATATCATGATTCAAAGGTAAATTCTTCATATTATGAACTGTTTGAGTAATCCGTGCTCAGCAAATGTGTTTGAGTGACTCTAGCAACATAAAAAATTTCAAGTATAAAGTGCCTCAGAACTGGTTTGAAACATTGTTAAACTGGTTTTGGATTCCCCAAACCAAACATGTTCATATTTCTATTGTTTAATGAAACAGGTGTCTTATGGGTAGCTTATTTTTCTGTAGTTCATATTTCTAGTTTATTCTTTTTCAACTCCATACTGTTCTATTTGTAGGTCCTGGAACACGCTTCTGTCTGTTTGACCCGCATTGCTGAAGCATTTGCATCATCACCAGATAAATTGGATGAGCTCTGCAATCATGGATTGGTAACTCAAGCTGCATCTCTTGTTTCTATCAGTAATTCAGGAGGTGGACAAGCATCTCTTAGCACGCCAACGTATACGGTAAATACGACTAGTGCATTCATTCTCTTTGCTAGTAATTTAGAAGGTTGGCAACTTGGAATTTTGACATTAGGCTTGTATTCAGGGCTTAATTCGATTGCTGTCAGCATGTGCAAGTGGGTCCCCACTGGGAGCCAAAACTTTGCTTCTGCTTGGAATCAGTGGTATACTAAAAGATATTCTGTCGGGTTCTGGTGTTTCTGCTAATGCATCTATTCCTCCAGCTTTGAGTAGACCAGCAGAGCAGGTATTGTTTTGCCCTTGATCCTTTTAGTATGATGGTACTATTCATTGTTTATGTATGTATTTATTTTATTCTAGGGACAAGTGGAACATTAAATGTTGTGTAGCATCATTAAGGCATTACCTAGGAAAACAGCATGCACTATTAGCTCCTAGATTAGAGAAGACTCTAAATCTTGTATTGTTTCATTACTTGCACTGTAGTAATTTACAGACCAGCTTTAGTATTCTACAATTTGAAAATATAAAAGAGGATGAATCATATTATCTCACCTTCAAATCTCACTAGCCAGTCTTGTCACTTTCAGCTGCAATATTTGAATGTCTATCATTTTTTAAAATGTTAGGATCCAAGGTTGTGCTGATCCTAGATTTCCATGCAATTTTATTCTGTTGTGGTCTTTGTTGGAATGGTTTGCTTATATTTGCTATGCAATGCAAGGAGGATATATTGATTAATCATGCAGCTAAGCACAGACGGCACTTTCTAGATTAGAGTAATTCTTTAATTTCAAATTTCTGCCATTAATTGATTGTTTGGAATACATCCCTGGTGTTCCTTGCAATTATTTTTGCTAAAATTACTTATTTGGATGACTATTTATTAATTTATTTCCTTGTGCTCTTCATTTATAGCAACTCACAAGCATATTGCTGTTAGTGCATATAAGTATATTTTTTGAATGACCCTTTAATTCTCATTTAACCTTGTAGATTTTTGAGATTGTTAACCTGGCAAATGAGCTTCTTCCCCCTTTGCCACAAGGAACCATCTCCCTTCCTACCAGCTCCAGCATATTTGTGAAAGGCCCTCTTCTGAAAAAGTCCCCTGGTAGCAGTGTTGGGAAACAAGAAGACGCAAATGGAAATGCTCCTGAGATTTCAGCTCGCGAGAAATTGTTAAGTGACCAGCCTGAGCTCCTGCAACAGTTTGGGATGGATCTGCTTCCTGTTCTAATACAGGTAGGCCTGTTCATTCAGGTGGCTAAATTTTTGGTTTCCCCATGTTTTGATTCGTAATTTTAGCTCTCTGTCATTCTGTCAAGCAGATATATGGTTCCAGCGTTAATGGTCCAGTTCGGCACAAGTGTCTCTCAGTTATTGGTAAACTGATGTATTTCAGCACACCAGAGATGATCCAGTCTTTGTTAAACGTGACAAACATATCAAGGTATCTAAGTTAACTTGGATAAGATGGTTTGACTGACATTCATGCTTGACTAGCTTTTGTGGGAAACTTACCATAGGTTTTTTTGGTTGATCTTATAGTTTCTTAGCTGGTGTTTTAGCATGGAAAGACCCACATGTCTTGGTTCCTGCCCTCCAAATTGCTGAGATTCTTATGGAAAAGCTTCCTGGAACATTCTCAAAAATGTTTGTCCGAGAGGGTGTGGTTCATGCTGTGGACCAACTTATATTGGTTGGCAATCCAAATACCACAACTGCTCAAGCATCTTCTGTTGATAAGGATAATGATTGTATAACTGGAACATCTTCACGTTCTAGGCGTTATAGGCGACGAAGTGGTAACTCTAATCCTGAAGGTTCCACAGAGGAGTCTAAGAATCCTGTCTCTGTAAATGTTGGTTCTTCACCAAGTTCAGTAGAAATTCCTACTGTTAATTCAAATCTTCGAACATCAGTAAGTTCATGTGCTAAAGCATTCAAGGACAAGTATTTCCCTTCTGATCCTGGAACTGTTGAAGTTGGAATGACAGATGATCTGTTACATTTAAAGAATCTTTGCATGAAGTTAAATGATGGTATTGATGATCAAAAAACTAAAGCTAAGGGAAAATCTAAAACTTCGGGGTCTCGCTTCTCTGAGTTCTCTGCAAGCAAGGAGGACTACTTGATTGGGGTGATATCGGAGATGCTAGGAGAACTAAGCAAAGGGGATGGTGTATCTACTTTTGAGTTCATTGGTAGTGGGGTTGTTGCAGCTTTGTTAAATTATTTTTCTTGTGGTTGCTTCTCCAAGGAAAGAATTTCAGAAGCAAATCTACCAAAGCTTCGCCAGCAAGCACTTAAGAGATTTAAATCATTTATTGGGGTTGCACTACCTTCCAGCATGAATGAGGGAAGTGTGGCTTCTATGACTGTGTTAGTTGAGAAGCTTCAGAATGCTTTGTCTTCTTTAGAGCGTTTCCCTGTTGTTTTGAGCCATTCATCTAGGTCATCCAGTGGGGGTACACGTCTCTCTTCTGGATTAAGTGCATTATCTCAGCCTTTTAAGTTGCGCCTTTGTAGAGCCCAAGGAGAAAAATCCCTTCGAGATTATTCATCAAATGTTGTGCTTATTGATCCATTAGCAAGTTTAGCAGCTGTTGAAGAGTTCCTTTGGCCACGCGTTCAGCGAAGTGACTCTGGTCTGAAGCCCTCAGCATCTGCTGGAAATTCTGAATCCGGAACCACACCTAGTGGAGCTGGTGGTTCATCTCCATCTCTGTCAACTCCTGCGACAACAACTCGCCGCCACTCCGCAAGATCCAGATCATCTGTTAATATAGGAGAAGTTGCCAAAAAGGAACAGTTACAGGATAAGAGCACTAATTCTTCAAAGGGAAAAGGTAAAGCTGTCTTGAAGGCTGCTCAAGAGGAGACAAGAGGACCTCAAACAAGAAATGCTGCTCGCAGAAGAGCTGCCCTAGATAAAGATGCACAAATGAAACCAGTGAATGGGGACTCTACTTCCGAGGTATGAAATTGCTCATTCTTTTCATTCACATGATCAGATGAGTATTAGTATATAATTACCATACAATCTCCGTAGTGCATTGAATCACTTATGCAGTGTAATCCTCTTGTATATTATGCTGTTAGCTTAAGAAAAAATGAAAAATGTTTATGATAGTCATATAATGGGATATGTTGAACTTAATTTAGATTTGTAGTTGTTTTTTAATAAGACATTCCTGGTGGATGGTAGGCTGTTCCATAGTTTAAGCTAAGGAATCTTATCTCTTTCTATCTTCAATTGTTTCCTGTTTATTGATCATTCTTTTGTTCCCCAGGATGAAGAATTGGATATGTCTCCTGTTGAAATTGATGATGCATTGGTGATTGAAGATGATGATATCTCAGATGATGAAGATGGTGATCATGAGGATGTAAGTACCTTGCCTTTGGTATTATCTTGCTTCCATAAAGATGTGTTCGTTGTGTCTCTCCATGTTTGTATATACAAATACCTTGGTCACTATATCTATGTGCGTCTTCTCTCTCCATATACTGGTCTTATAATTTCATTGGCATATTAGAATGAATTTCCTTCCCTGGTGAATATTAGAAAATCTCCTAGAAAGAGTAAGAATTTATTTCTCATGAAAGTAATTTTCTGTAGTTGCAAATATTTGAATAATGCCAAAATTAAAAGCAGTTTGTTACTAGGAGTTCATTCTAATAATTCTCCCACGTGGCAATAATTATTTTCCAGGTGCTTAGGGATGATTCCCTTCCTGTTTGCATGACTGAAAAAGTACATGATGTGAAATTGGGAGATTTAGCCGAAGATGGTACAGCTGCCCCGGCAACAAGTGATAGCCAAACAAACGCAGCTTCTGGATCTAGTAGCAGAGCTGCTACAGCTAGGGGCTCAGATTCTGCTGATTTTAGGAGTGGTAATTCCTATCCTTCAAGGGGTGCGATGTCATTTGCTGCTGCTGCTATGGCTGGGCTTGGATCTGTCAATGGTAGAGGTATCAGAGGAGGGAGAGATCGACAAGGGCGTCCTTTGTTTGGTAGTTCTAGTGAGCCTCCAAAATTGATCTTTACTGTGGGTGGTAAGCAGCTCAACAGGCATTTGACCATCTATCAGGCCATTCAGCGTCAGCTTGTTCTTGATGATGAGGATGATGAGAGGTATGGTGGTAGTGATCTTATTTCTAGTGATGGAAGCAGGCTTTGGGGCGACGTCTATACTATCACATACCAGAAGGCAGACAGCCAACCTGACCGATCAACTGTTGGAGGATCAAGTTCTGCATCTAAATCCACTAAATCTGGCTCTTCCAATTCCAACTCTGAAGTCCAAACTCAAAGAATGTCACTTTTAGATAGCATCTTGCAAGGGGAACTTCCTTGTGATCTTGAAAAATCAAATCCTACCTATAATATCTTGGCACTGTTGCGTGTATTAGAGGGTTTGAACCAGGTTGCCCCTCGTTTAAGAGCCCAGATAGTCTCTGACAGTTTTGCTGATGGGAGAATATCAAATTTTGATGAGTTGAGTACCAGTGGTGCTAGAGTTCCTCTTGAGGAGTTTATTAACGGCAAGCTAACTCCAAAATTAGCTCGTCAGATTCAGGATGCTCTTGCTCTCTGCAGTGGGAGTCTCCCTTCCTGGTGCTACCAGTTGACAAAAGCATGTCCCTTCTTGTTTCCTTTTGAGACACGGAGACAGTACTTCTATTCAACTGCCTTTGGGTTGTCTCGTGCACTGTATCGTCTCCAACAGCAGCAGGGTGCTGATGGCCATGGATCAGCAAATGAAAGAGAGGTGAGGGTTGGGAGATTACAGCGCCAGAAAGTTCGTGTCTCCCGTAACCGCATATTAGATTCTGCTGCAAAAGTAATGGAGATGTACTCTAGCCAAAAAGCGGTGCTTGAAGTAGAATATTTTGGAGAAGTTGGAACTGGATTGGGTCCAACTTTGGAGTTCTATACACTTTTAAGTCATGAACTGCAAAAAGTTGGACTTGGAATGTGGAGATCAAATTCTACATCTGAAAAACATTCCATGGAAATTGATGGAGATGAAGACAAAAGTGGAAAAACTGCTAGTTCTGCTACAAGTGATGGAGAGATAGTCCAAGCTCCTCTTGGATTGTTTCCTCGACCCTGGCCACCAAGTGCTGATGCTTCTGAAGGAAGCCCTTTCTATAAAGTGATTGAGTATTTCCGGCTTGTTGGGCGTGTCATGGCAAAAGCTCTTCAAGATGGACGGCTTTTGGACCTGCCTCTGTCCACAGCCTTCTATAAACTTGTTCTTGGTCAGGTAAGCTCATTCTTTTTTAGAATTCATGGCACCCCTAAAATCTTGACCAATGTTAGCAACTGTATCTGCGACGCCTATTGTTGTTATCACCTGTTTGTTTAATGCACAAGTTTCTAATCCACTACAGGAGCTAGATTTACATGATATTTTGTCTCTTGATCCGGAATTCGGCAAGATTTTGCAAGAGCTACATCTTCTTGTTCTTCGGAAGCAATATCTAGAATCATTGGGTGGTGACAATAGTGATGCAATTTCTGAACTGAGTTTCCGTGGGGCCCCAGTTGAGGATCTTAGTTTGGACTTTACACTCCCAGGCTATCCAGACTACATTTTGAAACCAAGAGAAGAAACTGTAATCTCTATTTTCTTTCCATTTTTATTATTATTATATTTCTCTAGGGGTACGTCTTACTTCTAAATGCTGAATTTAACAGGTTAATATCCACAATTTAGAGGAGTATATATCCTTGGTAGTTGATGCAACTGTGAAGACAGGAATCCTGCGTCAAATGGAAGCATTTAGAGCAGGATTCAATCAGGTCAAGTTTTGTTATGTTCAATTAAGTTTATGTCAATGAATTGCTTTTCTTCAATGAGTTACACATTTCCTTTTAGTGTTTTATTTTTAGTTTCTTGCTTTTGGATATATTGTTTCCCATTATTTGATTGAGTTTGCTGAACTTTCTCCGGTCCTGAACATGACAATCAGGTTTTTGACATTACATCACTCCAAATATTTACTCCTCAAGAATTGGACTATTTACTTTGTGGACGTAGAGAGTTGTGGGAGGTAATATGCCACTCAACTTATGTGTTATCCTTTTTTGTCTATAATTATGGTTTTAATTTTGGTTCTAACATGCAGGCTGAGACACTTGCTGAACATATAAAATTTGATCATGGATATACTGCCAAGAGCCCAGCAATTCTTAATGTATGTTTCTTTCCTAGACTTTCTTTCAAGTATTCTGAGAATGAACTTTTGATTAATCGTTATTTGATGGTGATTAATCTGTCTAATTTTTTTTAGTTACTTGAGATAATGGGAGAATTTACACCAGAGCAGCAGCGAGCATTCTGCCAATTCGTCACTGGAGCACCTAGGCTCCCACCTGGTGGTCTGGCAGTGTTGAATCCAAAACTGACCATTGTTAGGAAGGTAACCTGCCAACTTTTTGTTTTTTGGATCAATGGTAACCTGCCGAGTTGAAATTCAAATGATGCCTCTCAAGGTTGTGATTCTTTTACATTTGTCCATTGGCATGGGCAAATAGTAGAAATTCTGCCAGAGCAATTCAATTCAGTGTTTTGCATCTTTTAATGATGTCTTCTCATTGAATTCAGTTTTGTATGAAATCTTTTATTTAACCCCCCTTAATGCTCACTTTTTGTGAGTTTCATAATTCTAATGCCCATGATGTATTCGGATGCAGCATTCTTCTACTGCAAGTAACACAGCTTCCAATGCAAATGGACCTTCGGAACCTGCAGATGATGATTTGCCTAGTGTAATGACTTGTGCCAACTATCTTAAGCTTCCTCCATATTCTACCAAGGTAATTTGCTTGGATAATTATCTATTTGCTTTTCCTTCCATTGCTATAGTTTGCCCTCACCAATGACTCTGCTGGTCTTCAAACAGGAAATAATGTACAAGAAACTACTATATGCAATCAGTGAAGGGCAGGGATCTTTTGATTTGTCATGAGTTCTCAAAACTAACCAATTGACCAGTGTATATTATAGAACAAGACACAGTCAGGGTCAATTCTTTTCACCTGGGATTATTTTTAATGTTTGAAAGTAGCACCTTTTTCCTTAAATAATGGCTCTTCAGTACCGTTAACATGGTTAGAATTTTGAAGGTAAGTTGAGTTTTACATGTTTTACTGTTTTGTTTCACAAACTCAAGGGCTTGATTTTAAATTCTTAATATCAAATGGTTGGTTGGAACTTCATCAGGTTGAGCTTTGGCTGCGTAGGGGGTTCTGGAAGAGGGGTTTTGAAGCATTGTTGCAGCCGTTATGAATTTTGTATATACATAGGAATTTTGTTCTTCCTTTTTGGTTGGAAAATTATACAATGTATGGTTTAAATGCTGAAAGGGAAATGAATAAATCATGAAATTCCTTATTTTAAAAATCTTAGATTATATTTGTATTTCTTTTAATAAAGATATGTGATTCATGTTCAATTTTTTTTAAAGGCAGTTTTAGGTGATGCATGTTATTCACATTAAGGCATTTCCTTAAAATTATTTTGTTATAGAATATCAAAAAAAAAAAAA